AGCATATAATCTGTCCCTTTCTCAAAATTTGTGATACACAATATAACCTCATATTTGTTTTCTTTTATATTTTTCTTATTCCTCAAGATTTTCTGACGTATAAATAAGCTGATCTTTGTATTTTCCAAATTTCTCATATTATGGTGGTAATAAATAGGTGTTAGAATAAAGTGGTGGCAGCCGGTGTGATTTATTTATTTTTGGAAGAGCGGGGGTCTGATGTGATACTGTGACTTTCCAAAAGAAAGGTTGGACACAAGAGCCATGTGCTGCACTTTTTTATCATTGTAGGAGAACTAAATGACCACAAGGGGGAGACCTTTAACAACAGACACAACACAGACTCCAACTGTCTGTGCTCACTGGATACTAGTGTTGAAAATGACAAGAACCTGACTCATTCAACTTGGCTCAAACTTACACAACGCCAATTGTTTTAGTCAGTATATTGTGTCTGTAGCTGGCAAGTCAGTATGATTCAACTCTGAATCACTGACAGTTTTTAGCTCCACTCGCTTTAATGAGTGTGACTTTAACAACCAGATTCTCCCAGGTCAATCATTTTTCAATCACTGATCATTTGTTCCAGTCGCAATGATCTGGAACTGGGAAACCTGTTTACAAATAAATAGAATAGAGCTGATTCTGTCTGTAACTTATGATATTTCATCGAGGCCTGTAGCATGTATACTGTTTATTCACACATTGTGACCGATCACATAGTTCAGCAGGACAAATCTGTCTCTTTGAAATGTTTCAAAGGCCATTTTTAGCATTATATATCTTAAAACATCAAATATTTATTTTGAGTATAGTTGAAATTTATATGTGATCAAAGTAAAGCACAGGCACTGTCACTTTCTTTTGGGCTGTATTGATGATCCAATGCCTTCAGGGGCAAATTCAAATATGGAGAGAAGTGGCAGTGCCCTCTAGTGGAGGCATCTCTTTCAGAACACTACACACATCCTGTGCACCTCAGTAGTGAGGTACTTGTATTGTACTTGAGCCTTTTTTATACTAGTTTGTATTTCTACTCTGCTATATTTCTGAGGACTGCTGAGGACAGGACTTTTCATTCCACTACAAGTTGTGGTATAGTTGCAGCTATAGTTAACTTTTTACATTATTATGAGCACGAAGAGTAAATTCCGACTTATTATTAAATGCATTCTTTCACTAAATTAAACCAGCAAATAATATAAAATGTGTATTCGACACCTTATACACGTTGATTTATACTTGTTATACCTTTGGGGATGATACTCCTACTTAAATGGAGCATCTCAATATTTCTGTTTTCAATGAGTGCAACATTCAAATCAACCTCTTTCTTATGTGCAAGGAAAACATGAAGAGAACATGAGCTAATGTAAATTCCACAGGTAATATTGTAAGAAACTGGCTTTGGGGCCTTTTTATTATAATTGGTATGTTGTATATTGTCGTTTTGCTGTGGGGTTTATTTTGACACTGGCATCAACAATTAATGTTTCAATAGATGTTAAACCTGGACCATTATTTTTTATCTCCTGCCTGAGTTGGGACGAGACCAGATCCTGCCTCATGTTATAATATTTTATTTTTTCTTCTGTTATATACTTACCCTAACAAATCATCACTCTTCATGCCTATACCAAACCCACCCAACTAACAAAGTAACTACAAGCCCATCAGAGGTAAAGCTGAGGGAGGTCTTCACCCAGCTCGGGCTGGGAAACAGACACAAAGGAGGAGGTATATCTGCTGCTGATGTCAAGTATGCAGCTCACATTGTAAGAATGGAGCTGGCTCACTGGGGCTCTAATTGCATGAACTGCATATTGCCATATGTTTCTGAGATGATGTACAAAGAATGAACACATTTGCACATGTACAGAGGAAGTTGTTTTAGATGATCTCCACTCAGTTTGAATCCTGTAAATGGAAAATAGACAGTATTTATACTTCTTATCCACCACTCAAAGTACTCCACACAACAAGTCCTTCACACATTCTTACTATAGTTACTACAATACACACTTTTTATATCACACAGTGTCGCACAGTGGTCCGGGGCGGATTTGGGGTTCAGTATGTTGCCCAAAGAGCCGGGTTCATACCACTGACCCTCCGGTTAGCGAGTGGCCCACTGTGCCTCCTGAGCCACTTTTGCCAAATCCTGTGTCCACCTCTTGACTTACTGCACTTCACTATACTATCTTAATAACTTTCTTCATATTTATTTAGTCATTTAAAAAACCTACTTGGCGTGGTTGTAATAGAGAGGAGCATCACATGCCTCACACTGTCTTTGTTTTCTCAAATGAAACTTAACACCAGGTATGAGTTACGGCTGCAGAGGTGCTTCAGGGTGAGAATACGTTTTAAAGTCAACTTAATCATCATGTTAAAGATATCTTTGTCACTCACTGTACACATGCTATTGTATTTCCATTTCGGTAACATCCACCGTACGTTTTTTTCTACACGTTGCAGAGTTTCAGAGGTTATCAGCAGTCAGCAGGGGTAACAACACACCAGGGTGTTTAAAGCCGCCGGGTCCCCTCGATGTAAATATAAAGTATTTAAATATAAAGGGCCTTTTCTGGGGGAAAGAAAACTACAATTCATACAATTTAGAGCAAACGAACTAGTGAAAACATCATAAGGATTATTCTGCATTAAATTTCTGCCAATAGTTCCCTTTCACCTAAATCTTACACCTTAGCTGACAGGAGGGGCACCCGGTGTGGTCGTCTGCTGCTGTAGCCCATCTGCTTCAAGCTTTAACATGTTGTGTGTTCAGAGATGGTATTGTGCAAACCTTGGTTGTAACGAGTGGTTATTTGAGTCACTGTTGCCTCTCTATCATCTTGAACCACTCTGCCCATTGTCCTCTGACCTCTGACATCAACAAGGCATTTTCGTCCACGCAACTGCCGCTCACTGGATGTTTTCTCTTTTTCGGACCATTCTCTGTAAACCCCAGAGATGGCTGTGCGTGAAAATCCCAGTACACTAGATAAACAGTTTTTGAAATACTCAGACCAGCTCGTCTGGCACCAACAACCACGCCACGTTCAAAGACACTTAAATCCCCTTTTTCTTCCCCATTCTGATCCTCGGTTTGAACTTCAGCAAGTCGTCTTCACCACGTGTAGATGCCTAAATGCATTGAGTTGCAGCCATGTGATTGGCTGATTAGCTATTTGTGTTAACAAGCAATTGAACAAGTGTGCCTAATAAAGTGGCCGGTGAGTGAACTCCACGGGTGGATTAAGACCCATCCAGGTAGATGTAATCGCTCGTTACAATACATGAACTTTGCCTGGCCCCACATGATGATGACCAGCACAAATAATATAGAGCTGTTATCAAAGCTTTCTTTTTACAACCAGCAGCAACCAGAGTTTCTGCCTTTTGAACATATTTCTTCTCAACTTTTAATTTTTTTTTGTTTGCATTGATGTTTGGTAAAAAAAAAATAACGGGGCCTGTGTGTCTCCTTCTCACACTGTGCCGTGTTTTTCTCTTCCTGCGTTCACCTTCCTCAAGGTCTGCTCCGTGCTGTCCATCCCCCATCACATCTGCTGCTCCCTGGGATTACAGCACAAATGTCTGTCTGAAACTCTCAGTGCTGAGGGGGAAGATTACAAGTGCACTGCACCCTCCAAGAGGGGTTAACCAACCAGGGCGCACAGACGCAGGGATTAACCAATCACACCACGGGGAGGGAGGGTGGAGGGATTAAACCCAGCACAGAGTGGGATTAGGTCAGTGTTGAGTGCAGGAAAATGCTCTGAAATGTCTCTGGCCACCCGGTTACTCCACTCTGTGCAACAGATCTCAGGTTATACTAAATAAATGTGAGCACGGAGATTAGATATGATTTACATGGCAACAAACATTTGGTTTCTTCTCAAGTATCAGCAGAACAGTCGTCATAATTAACTCTTTTATATTCACTGAGCTGTAAAGAAACATTTACGTCACTTAAATTTATTGGATCTCGAACAATAATCTAAATTTATTAAATATTTACGATGACTGAGCTCAAAGGGAAGAAACATTTCTCCTCAGCAAAAGAAAATGTCATGAAATCATGAGAGTGTGGTCAAATGTGTCTGTTGTGTTGGAAGAGCACAATTATTAAGTAACTGACGATGAATCCTCTGTGCACCTTCGACACAAACTCTCAGAATACACACACCAATAAAAATATATTCACACGTTTGATGTGATGGTTAAGTTTGCATGGCAGTAATCAGGTCATGTGAGGATTACCAAGTTATCAGAGGAGTTTGGGGAGATTGGTGCAGTGGTGGTGGTGGGGGGGCAGCAGGGGTTGACACGTGTGAGAATTGGAACAGTTCACGAAAAACAACTGTCGTGAAACAGCTTCGATAAACTTCACTGTTGTCGAAGACCTGCATGTTTTGAACGTTTTATTAGGGGCGAGTGGGATGTGAGTGAAGACCACAAAAAGGCAGAACTCCTGAGGAGAGGAAACAGGCAGAGGTAGAAAGAAGAGATACTGCAGAGGGAGGAGAAGTGGACAAAGATAGAAAAGATGGAGGGAGGAAAAAAGTGAGGGGAGAGCCCGGAAAAGGTGAGGGCGGGGGAGGAGTGGCTGAGGTGGGTGAGAGACAGAGGGCAATAATCCTAACTAATTCACTTAGGGCATTGCTGAAGGGAGGCTAAGAGGATTGAGACACTCCCAGAATCAGATAAACAAAAATAACCAAGACGTGCAGGCCATATGACGAAGATGACGGCCGCAGAGCTGAGAACACGGACACTTCACATCCACTCTCCGCTGACCCCTCACTCTGCATCACCTCCCAACTGTCTCCTGCGTCAGCATCCATAACCAAACCACCACTCGTTTCAAAGCACACGGTCTCAATGATTAGCACTGCACAGACATGGAAGGACTGAATTACTTTAATGTGTCACACAACTAAAACAGAGGGTCTAACGTTTCACTGAACAGATCAGAATGTTGAAACTAACACCTTAACACGCAACACGAAAATTCAAAACGATCTAAAAGCAACCAGTTACATATGTATGGTATAGGATAACATAATAATAAATAGCTTCAAATAAATTAACCCTGAAAGAGGAAGTGACCTAAAGGACTCGGGAGCCCCTTCACGTTAAAGTATCTTTCACTATATGATAATGTAGGTTTCAAACAAAGTGTAGAGTTCATGTCGAACAGTCACGTCACACGGGGAGAGATGGATCAGTGCCTCCGCTCGTCTTCTCCTGAAAACGCTTTTCGAGGCTTTTGTTGCCTTGGTGAACGGAACATGAAGAGGAGACCAGACATGGATTGCAGTCGGGCTGCGTACGTGACAGTTACTGTCCTCTCGTCGTGAAATGCATCTCTACAGAGATCAACTTTAGAAAATCAAACAAAATCTTACAAACAAGAAACTGAGAATCAAGGATAACAAGTCCTCGGGCAGAACATGCCTCAAACTATCTCACACAGAACTCACTGACACACATGACATGTTTGACACATGTTTGACACACTTTAACAAGTTCTCTCTCGCTTCCTAGAGCACCTGGAACTTCCAGGAGTTTTGGTCTTTGTGGTCCAGACAGTCCATTGTGGTGAAGCCCAGTTTCCAGGCCTGCTGGTCCTTGTAGTCCAGGCAGTCAACAGAGGTGAAGCCCAGGGAGGAGGCTGTGCTGTAGCCCTGTGAGGACAGGGAGGCCGGGGACTGACTTAAAGAGCCCCCCATTGAGGGCACGGTGATGGGGCTGAGAGCGCCCCCTGTGCCCGACAGCTGCGAGTGCATGGGGGACAGGTAGGCACTGCAGTCCAAGCCAGTGAAGTAGGAGGTGGTGCTGGCGTAGCCTTGGGTGTAAGCCGATGGCTGGCCATAGCTCATGGGGTAAGGTGAGGGCCGCTGCATGCACTGGGCTGAGGAAGAAGCCAGGGGGTCAGGCAGGGGTGACATGGCCGGGCTCCAGATGGACACAGCTGTGTTTCCAGTGCTGGAGCTCGGTGCCAGGCTGGGCCCTGACTGGACAGAGGAGGGGCTGTAGGAGCTAGACGGGTTGGGGACAGGATCAGGGGCGTTGGGCTCCTGCACTGGAGAGGCCTTCTTCTTGGGAGGGCGCGGCTTGGACTGGCCACTGCTCTGCTGCTGCTGCTGGCGGCACTTGGCCCGGCGGTTTTTAAACCAAACCTGGAGATGCAAAGAAGAAAAAAAACACGCGTTAGCACGCTATGAGTGAGGTACAGAGGTGAGAGGGGACGCGTGTGAAATCAGATATATCTGAAGTGATGCACCACAAGCGACTGAGCAGGCCTCGGTCTGCAGCTGGTTACCTTCAAACTTTAAAGTCTGCAATCCACAAACACTGAACGGTATATGACCATTATCATGGCCATAGCCTACTTCTCCTGTACCTGCACACGTGACTCCGGCAGGTTGATCTTGAGGGCCACCTCCTCCCTCATGAAGATGTCTGGGTAGCGGGTCTTGGAGAACAGCGCCTCCAGGATGTCCAGCTGTGTCCGAGTAAAGGTGGTGCGCTCCCTGCGCTGCTTGCGGGGAGTGGCTGCGAACCCAAGTGACACAGAGGGGAGAGAGAAAGGGTTATTATACTGGTGGTGATGGAGAGATGATGTGAAGTATGAGCACAACTCAGAACAAATGAAATTTGGCATTTTGAGCAGTGATCATTTGGAGTCTGGTTGTTTCTCAGCTGTGTAAGGATGACACACAAATGAATATACTGATGAAAACCTCACGCGTACTGTTTGTGATCCTGAATTGTTTTCTCTACTGCTTGGGACTAAGAAGGAGAATATATTTGCTTATGATAATAAATCAACATAATAATTACTGCTTCTTTACAGAGTAACAGTTTCCCATAAGAGGGGGGGATACAGTTGCATTTTATTAATTTTACAATGGTTTGTACAGTTTCATATATCTACACACACACAGCCAACAGCCTTGGTGTATTTGTTTCAAAACGAGTATAGTGAGCAATTATTAGATTTAGTCACCTGCACTTGGCATTATGGTATCAAGTGTCTCCGAGTGTGAACCTTTGTGTTTGATCGATGTGAAAACTGTGAGGTGAAATGTGATAAACACATAAAAGACATCAACAAATATATATTTCCTGACGCTGAACTCAGAGCGAGGACAGATCATCTGCGTTTCAATAGGTTCAATGTATCTGCTTCACATGTGAACCTACAATCTGCGTATGTGCGCGTCTGCACTTTTTTACTAATAAACTACATCTCCCATAGAAATTCACATTATAATAAATCGTATGGAAATGATGAACTTTTCATCAAATCATAAGGAAAGCAATAATGAAATAATACTCTTCAGTACTGTTTGTTTTTTAATCTCACATCAACGCAACAGACAATGATTATAACATTTCACCATGTGATCATTATTATACAACATCAGCGCACCAACCCTCATGAAACAAATATATACTCTTATTTACTTCTCGTTTGGCTTCAGCGCTGCACAGACTTTATTCTGTAGAATACTAAAGAGACAAATGCGTCCTAAAATAAAAAGCCAGAAAGTATAAGTAAAAGAAAGTATACGATCTATATATCCGTTATATTTACCGGTTTATACTTACATGGATAAGCGACGGTTGTGTGGAGCACATCCATTCCGGGTCCAGGCAAATTTAACCCGTTCATGGTGTAATGGGGTTGCTTTATGTAGGACATCATCCTTACAGCAGGCTTTTAAGTCCCGGCGCTGACTTGTAGGTCGGACACGCAACACAGCAGCCGAGGGCCCCTCAGAGCTCAGCTGTGCCAACGAGTCTCTGCGCCACAGAGGAGCGGTGCGCACCGGAGCGAGTGCGCAAAGGAGAAAAGTACACTTTTTCTTTTCTTTTCTGTTTAAAGCTGCGGGTTCAGCTTCTGTGAGTTTAGCACCAGCAGACACCGAGGAGCGCGCTGAGCTTCAGACCTTCTCCAGGTTGCAGGTGCCTCTCTTCTTCGCACAGTCGTCCTCACACAGGTGAAGTGGCCCCCGGGTGCCCGTGCGCCTTGCTGAGGTCTCTCCACTGAGTTCCTTCACCGGCACACGCTGCTAATTAGAGGCAGCAAGTGGCTCCAGCAAACCCCTCCCACCACTCGTGGCCGCGCACACGCACTCAGGGAAAATAGCAACAGGCTTCACAATGTGACAAACTTGTTTTTTCCCCCAAGTTTTTTTCTTCATGTTGTACTCGATCGTATCTGATATGAGGTTTATACATGTGGATTAACAGCAAATACAATGTATAAAGAAATAATATATGAATATTACATTTAAATATTAACATTAAATACATATGATGCTTTTGTTGACATGAAATTATTTAAAAGTACAGTCTACATTCGTCATTTAAGACTAAATTAGTTTGGGATGTTGAATATGTATACCTGCCATGTTTAAATCCAGTGTTGTAAACCTTCAACAGAACATATATTTATTTCTATTTCTATTAAGCAGCATCAAGTATTTTTATTCTTGATATTTTTGAAAATGTCGCTTTCCTTTCAGTTCTCATCCCTCTCTCCTTTTCCCCTTTTTCAATTCTACCTGCTGCACATCTGCTGTCATACATTCATTCACACATAATTAACAGATTACATTTATCTCCAAAACAGCTGCATATACACATGCTGCAATCACACACACACACACTCACTCACACACACACTCACACACACACCCACACACACAAACACCCAGATGCACAAAACCGACAAAGCTCATTTGATTTATCGTAATATGCTTTATCTGAAAAGTAAGTATCTTATCTCCAGATAAAGGGAGGAAAGACAGAGCAATCCGTTCAGTGGTGCTGCAGGAAAGGAGGCTGGAGAGGACGACAGCCTCACAAAGTGGGAATTGGACGAGTTGGTGTGAAGAGTGGGAAAAAGAAAGACGAGGAAGCAGAAGGGAGAGAATATGGCGACAGGACGAATCTAAGATGGAAGGACCGTGGACAGAGGATTGAGGAGAGCATGGAGACAGAAGCTGCACGTTTCCACATGGAGAACACACGATTCCTGGACCGCACTGTGGGAAAGTGATGTGATCGAGAGAGAACTCTGTAACTGTCTGTGCAATATTGTGCATATTCCTATGCTCTGAAAATGTTTGACAAACTTTTCTAACTCATTAGATATTTCAGTATGCTTTTTGTTCTCTCAAAATATGTTTTCTTCACTTTTTGACAAGTATTTATTTTACAGACAATCTGTTATATTCAATTATTGCTATAATATCGATGTAGTGTGGTGAAATTTTCAAAATGTAGATTCTGATGAGGGACAAAATTATGCAGAATAAGTGTCTTTTTTGGTGAATTATTTGATCCATTAAATAAATGATAAATGTTATGCACACACTGTCTACTTGATTTTGATGGTGGTGTTCCAGTCTTCATCCAACATTGGAACAGCTCGTCCTGCAGCTGCATCAGTAAATAGGGAAGTAGGGAAGAGGACTGAGCTGATATAATCCCTGCCCAACTGCCCTTCCCCCTAAATCTGTCCTCAGACGCAATCAGAATGATGCAAGCAGGCGTTTTATTTTAAGATGGAACAGTTTGTGTTCAACACACTGGAGGCTGACTTGGAGTCCAGGAGGATGTGGACTCAAGGAGGAGAAGTATGGACGTCAGGTGGACAGAGGGGGGAGGCAGGTAGACAGAGGGAGGAGATGTGAGCAGGAGGAGTGGGGGCAGAAGCAGGTGAAGGGGCAGAGGGTGGGGGAGGTTCTGCTCCTCCTCCCCACTGACACACTGCTGCGGTTAATCCAGATTACAGTGTCTAAAACAGGTCGGCTAAATCTGCAGGCCGACCAGCAGTACAGAGGCTGCTGTCAACCCCAATCACTCACAAACACACACCCACACACACACACACACACACACACACACACAACACACAGTCGTAATCCCCTCTGTGCAAACCAGGTGCCACCAGCAGCTCAGCACAGGCCGACAATAACCACCCCAGCAACCCCCTTCCAGTCCAGTTAGGTTGATACTGTCACACTGGACACACAGGCACAGACACACACTGGCACAGCAACCATATTCTTTTATGAGACCGTCTGCAGACGAAGACACTGCTACAAGATGAGGCAGAGTTGGCACTTTCAGATCGCTGAGTCATCATAAAGTCCAGTGTGACCTTGGTATTTCCTGAGTCGATGAGTGTGACTGTGTAAGGGAGGAAGGTGCAGATCAACCTGTCAACATTTTCACTTTGTGTAAGGCTCCACACATATTCTACACCTGCACTTTGGGAAAATGTGAGCTGTTCCCCATAGCTGCGCGGACGTAGGGGAACATACTACCTAGCAAAGGGGTTGATGGGAAATTTCTCTCTGCTTAAATAGGCTGCCTATTAAGGTGGGTGTGTATAATAGATGATTGTGGTAAATGAGGTGTGTCACATGATGTGTGTCACATGATTGGAGCAGCGCAGCTCGAGTTGGCTTCCTGAACTAGCTCGCAGGGTTCGCTCCATTAATAAGAATGTTGTTTATAGAGCATGTGTCAGAACACAGTTACAAAGTGCTTTACAGTAAAAACAAGGAATATAAAGAAAATCCAAACAGTCTGAATCATGGTGAAGGATTGAAACAGTTAGAGCAGTCAGTTACCACCAGCTGAGACAGCGTGTGGAGGTCTCCTCTTCGAACAGCAAAGTCCAGGAGTGCAACTGTTCACATGAGTCAACCGAGCAAAATCCTGAGCATGTAAATAAAAAAATCAGATATAAAACTGTTCATTTTGCAGTAAATTAAACACTTGACATATAATAAAACTTCATCAGACTGAGGATGTATTTTATTCATGGTTGAGCTGGAGTGAACTGCTATTTACAATCAGGTCTCAAACCAGATGCTCCTTTTTCATAGAATCACAACTACAAGGAAACATGGTGTCATTATAACCTCATCACGTTAGTTACTGAAGATGTGGTGGAGTAGAAATGTAATGTAGCATAAAATAAGAAAATTAAGTTGATTGCAGCTTAAAAGAGAAATCCTTTAGTAAATGTAATACCTACTGGATAATTAAGTTTTAAATTTAATTTTAGTGATGTTATGTCTTAACAAAGGTAATAACTGCACAGTGATGGTAAACCTGATGTTACATTCTATTAAAAAAACCACAGCCACAATAATTTTGGTGTGGACTCGAACACTCCTCTGCTCTATTCCCACGATGACATCACTGGATCCAGTGGTCCTCTCCCCAGTGAGCCCCCATCATCGCCATGGCAACCAACTACATCCTGTCTGATCTCTATAAACTGATAACCCAAGAATCCACAATAACCTTATGCAAGACACATTTGGGTGTGTGTGAGCGTGCAGTGAGTCAGGAGTTGCAGAGTGAGGTGAGGTGTGTCAGTGTGGAGGATGAGTGATTACAGTGGACAGTAATCCTGCAGATGGATTAGCAGATGGTATTAGTAGGAGAAGTGGGGGTGTAGCACAGTGCGGCCTCTGAACTGTCCCAACATGCAGCAGCAGCAGCAGCAGCAGCAGCAGCAGCAGCCGCAGCAGCAGCAGGTCTCAGAGCTTCACCCCAGTAATACATGTTACTGGACAAACTAACACACACTGTGGAATGCTCACACAACAGTGATCAGAGAATATGTAAATAAGCCTGTAGTTTTATTGTCTGCTGGTGTTTTGTGGGCAAAATTGCTGTGGAGCAAGTTTTGTTTAAAGTTTGACACTTTTTTTGGTTTATCCTTTTGGCAAATGTTTTTTTTAAACTACATGTTAAAGTTGAAGTTACAACAGATCCTGAACAAGTCTTTACATTGTGCATTTACTCCATAGTAACATTTATAAAATGTAGAATGTATGGCGGGTTTCAGACATTAAGTTACCCACTATAGGAACGTCACCCCTTTATCCGTATGTTCGTGAATGTGCAGATATGAAACTGTAAGGTTGAGTTCAGTGTGCTCAGTGTCTGGGCCTCCAAGAGACAAGCAAAAACCTGCTTGTCTCTTTGCTACTGTCCATTTACTAGATGAACACATGAGATGTTAAGTTTCTGCTAAACAGCTCTGATATTAGTTATTGTTGATCATTCAGAGTTTGTAATCAGAGAGCGAACTTCTACTGCGGCTTACTAATGCTGCTGCAAATTATACTAAATATATTATGAAAATAAATATAATAAATTGATGTAACAATCAAGTATATGTCCTTATACATAGATGCATTTTTCTTAATCTATGCTTTGTTCTGGTGAAGTTTAAAGATAGACACCAACCAAATTTGGTTTCATTTGGTATCACAGATATCTATTTCTGTTAAAGGTTATAGGTGATGGACCCAGTGAAATAAATTTCAGTTTGCACCTACATTTCAAATGATCCTTCAGGTGTTTCTCTTCGTGGTTATCATCCTCAGCTTGAGACTGAACTCAATCAGACTGAGCTTTAGTGTAAATGTCTCTTAAAATCTTCTGAAACATTATGTTTCTCTAAAAGCAGGTTGATACGAAGACAAACAGATGGAGAGAGGCATTGGAATGAGAAATAATGGATTGGACTTTGACTTTTATCGAGGATATTTGGTTATAGGTTAGGTATTAGTAGTTATTAGTTTAAGAGGAAATGAAATGATGTTTTGCTTAACTGTACTCCTGAGGAGTAAAACTGACCTGCAGGAGAGTCCCACTGTTCTATGGCTAGTCAAGCTTGATGAGTGAGTTTCTATTGACACCTGCTGGACATGTCTTGTTATGACAGAATACATTGAATTTGTATAAGTGTTCGCCAGCCCTAAAGAAAAATAACCTTTTCAGATAAGAGTTATGTGCCAGCAGAATATGAGTTTATAATGAATCTAACACGCACAGTAGTGCATGGTATTCATTGAGATGTACATCATTCTAATCAATAAAAATAATGCAAACAGAAAAGATTCAGAGCAACAGCTCAGCGACGGTAGAATCCCAAAGTATTGAAATACAGACATTGACCACCAGATGGGAGCAGTGTGCATGCGATGT